ACTGAGATGTACATAAAATGTGCAATTTCGATTTGATGGAACATCATGCCGTCAGATAGACGGAGTGGCAATGGGTTCCCCATTAGGCCCATTATAAGTAGACATATTTATGACCAAATTAGAAAGTACAGCGTTGGAGCGGAAAATAGAGCAAATGAGTCTATACTGCAGCTACATGGAGGACATATTCTGTCTCACACCGAAAATTAGGGACAAGACAAGTTTGCTCCAGAGATCAACGAAGCTCACGAAATTATTCATTTCACATTGGAAACTGAACAAAATGATAATTTGGCTTTCCTAGATGTGGCACTCCGAAGAAATGATGGTTTCCTTGAGCGTGCAATAGATATATATCAAACCAGCTTGAACGTGACAATATACACACACAGACAGAAGAGAAATTTAAATAACACTCTTACAACAAGAGCGTGAAATGTCAGCACAGAAAATGCGGTAAATGAAGAACTAACAAATATGAAGGACGTCCACAGAGAAAACGGTAATCGTGAGCGGTTCAATGATAGAAACTTTCAAGAAAGGCGGCAATCAGAACAGCTTCATCAGGCCCGAAAAAAGAAGCTATTCATTCGTCTACCTTTTCAAGGAGATGCCATATCAGACCTCTCGAACAAACGTTTACAGACTGGCCCATCATCCGAACTAGCCACCAGTAGAGACTGCCTACGCTGACCAATTCTGTGGTTATCTACTCTTTCCGGTTTGTTTGTAGTGCAACGTACATAGGTCGCACGGCGAGGCAACTATCCAAACGGATGAAGGAACACTGCTCACGCTGGTTAAAACGAGGAGAAACGGGAAACATGAGAAGCGCTAATCCTGGTCATCTAGTGAATACAGGCCATCAGATTAGACCGGGATCGGCCTTCAGCATAATCTATCGTGTGCCCCCCAAGTCCTCTAAAGCGGTTCGCTTACACACACTAGCCACCGCTGAGGCGATATGCATTCGCCTATTCACGGCAGAACTGCGTGCACAAAAACGACTGGTCTAAGCCCTGCACTTTCCCTGGCCCCAAATTGATCATCAACATCAGCACCCTAGAATTGCGTTGTTAACAAGTGGTGTCATTATTCGAAAGCAAGGATTTTGTGAGTAGACTGAAGTTAGGAGGTCAGTAGTCCAAAGATTGAATTGATGGTTATATTGAAGAAGGACGACCGTCTTATATGATGACTCGTGTTTCATTTGTGTTCAAACATTACAAAAGTATCGATTTTGCCCAAGATATGTAGAGACGTTCGTCCTAAACTTCAAAGAAGGTGAACGGATGCAAAGCCACATTTCAATTGATAAACATATGTAGGTTCCTCATTTATTTTCAAATATCTCCTACACCTTGTATTCCTTTGATTGATTAGAATATCCATCTAAGCATGATGCGTGAAAACTCGATTATTAGGACGTCTTATGAGGTTTCTTTCCTTTTTTGAGACAAAACACCGGCAAATTTAATTGCACAGTATTGACGGGGACAGCGACCTGTCCGGAAGTGAAGATAGGTAATCGTGGGGAAAGTGATGCCAATCAGTTCCCGTTCAATGAGTTTGCAACATGCTCACCGAGTCCTGGATATTGTCCTTACAACAAATGACAGTTATAGCTGGTTGTAATGACAATTAATCAGTGCTGACAATTCATTTGGAAATTTCTTCCTTCTTGACTGCGATTAAACTTGTCTTCCGCCGAATCCTATTAAATGGATTCTTGGATGACGTTCACGAAGTTGAAAAGGCTAATTGCAGTTTCTTCGTAGTTCACATGAATTCTCGTATACTTATTCCCATCGACCGTTCAATCGACTTCGTTATGACGCCCATATTTGATAAGCTACATCTGCACATATTCTCTAAATGTGCCTAAAACCGATATATTTCCAATTCGCACTACTGATAAGTAGTCACACTATGTATGCAATGAACCGAAAATCGCATTCCCAATTTTTAGGTAGAACCTTTTAAAAATCAATTTATCACACTTTCCAGCTTCGGCTTACCTCTATGACTCCAGCGCTCTGCATAGCTTTTACTATCGATTTTACTGAATCTTAGGTGGTTTTGGACTTTTGAGTATTGAGTGTTTCATGGAAAGTAACCTAAATGCACGAATGCAGGAATGGAAAGCATATACTTGACCCCTGCACACCTCGTGTTCCACAATCATCTTATATATGAATATACACGTAAAAACACTTCTGACCTGTGTCCAAACGAATATT